TATATATATATATAAATTTTTAAAAAGCCGCACACCCACACATTGTGTAAACACGAGTCATTTCTTAAAACACACACGAGCGCTTTTCTTGGGAGTGGGGTATTAACACATGTTCATTTGAAGTTTTCCAACACTTTTTTCTTTGAAAAGAAAACCTCTACAAGCTAAGCATCATGTGGAATGGAAAATATACCATGGATGCTATTAGTGTAAAATTTGTTTCTAATGTGATAAATTATGAGAAAGCATAACTGGAATTCAAAACAGAAGAAGATACAGAAAGGAAAAGACATTTGGAACAGTATTCGAAAATGCTTCCTCAATGTGAGCCAAGTTTCTGGAATCCAGATGAAAGAAACCTCAAGGGCCCAGCAGCTGGCCTGACACCATCCTGTGTGCACTGCCCACCTGGAGATGCTTAACACTCAACATTTCAGCATACGGTTTCAGAAAAAGGGGAAACCCTGCAGTCTGCATCCTTTCCACTGCCAAGAAAAGTAAAGTGGGGATAAGTACCTCACAAATCTCTCTGTAAGTTGCTGGACAAAATTGAAAATTTCAATCCAGTTATTTGCCACACTTCCGGATCTGAAAAAAATGAGACAGAACTCAACAGAGAAAAAGCAAAGACCCAGCTGACATGCAAGCATTTCTGCAGTACTGGGAAGATGGGGACTTGGCCTTCTCCGGCACCGTCAGAACGCCCTGACCTGGAACTCGGCTGCCAGAGTTCGAGACCTCAGCCCGTCCCCTGCAAACGGTTCGGAGAAGGACCCAGCTTTTCAAAATAAATGCTCAAGCTTTCTCTAACTGCCAATGCAAACCACAATGAGTTTGTTAAAGCTCGTCTTGGCTCTAGTGAAAGCGCTGTGATAGGGATAAAATCCGGCAAGGCTCGGGTGTGGAAAGGACAGAGGATCCGAGGCAGAGTCCCGCCGGAGAGTCCATGGGAGAGGCAACGCTTGCCTGGGTGGCCTCACTCTCCGGTTCCCAAGAGGCCCCTGACTGGCAGCTGGGAAAACTCCACTCCCCTGGGGCCCCCCTCCCGGCCACATCCTGCCTCCCAGCCCGCACAGATCCGAAAGCGCCCGGCTTCCCAAAGACAGAGCCGCGGGGCGCCAGCGGCTGGGTCCCCGCAGCCCCATGCCA